AAAACTAATAAAATTTAATAATAATTTAAAAAAAAGAAAACCTGCTGGAGGGTCAGCTATGGGTCAGTTCCAACTCTATGATACACAACAACACAACAGCAACATGTCTGTGTAGGAGAGAGCTCTGAGAGCTTACTGGTAAGGAGTTGTGCTCCCAACTCAAAGACATGCAGTTCAAATCCACCAGCTACTTCACAGAAGGAGGCTGGACAATCTCCTCCTATGCGATTTACTGCCTCTGAAAAACCCACTGGTTGTTAGCTGTGAGTCAGCTCTGACTCAGTGGTATATTAACAGTAGGTTTATGTAGATGCAAAGTGTAATCTGGCTCACAGCTTGGGGCCTCTGCCACTGTTCAGATGAACAGAAAACTGATTTAATTGGATACCCCAACTCCAGACTTCTGCTGGGCTGGCAGATATATTTTTTCAGGCTAGACAGTTTGTTTTATATTTTCCTGTCTATTTGGGGGGGGGGTGTTTCTTTTTAATTTTTTTTTCTCCTGGGAATAGCATCGTAGTTTAGGGCATGGATTCTGTAGTTGATTCTAAGGCACATAATACAACCAAAACATGTATATAAAACTTAAAACAAGCTGCTCTGAAAAAAAAAAAGCTACTATGTATGATTGTTTTCTAATCTATAAAATGGAGATAATAGAACCTATATTATAGTTCTTTGGAAATGATCAAATAAGTTAGTATGTGTTCATGTTCTTGGCATATAATAAAGATACTGTAATCCCAAAGGCACATAGCTTGAATCCAACAGCTGCTCCGCAGAGGAATGTGCAGTCTCCTTCTGTGTGATTTACTGCCTCTGAAAACCTGCTGGAGGGCCAGCTATGAGTCACTTCCAACTCAAAGGCACATAAAACTGAAAATATGCAGTTATTGTTAGTGTTGTGTGTCCTCTCTGAAATGTGGGAAAATAAAAGGTCAAAAGAAGACTTTCAAGGGTTTATATCTTCAGAAACACAACCAATAAAAACCCTGCATGTTGAACGTACTCGTGGCCAGCTTTTTACTCATTCACTTTACTGCTGTACCAAAAAGACCTTTGACTTCGAACTTTTTGTAGAATATGATCCTAATAACCATGAAATGTGAAATCATCTGTGAGTTTTCAAAGGTTGTGCTTAGCTTTTTCTTCCTCAGAGATTAATCATCAACATTCCATCCTTAAAACATGTATGCTTTAAAATGGAAATTTCAATTTAAAATGACAATTTCAATTAGTAGCCCATTTTTTGTATAGGGGAACATGCCAAAGTCTTGGATTACAACAGGTGAAGAGTCTTGGATGGGCGAATCTGCTAAGAGACCATTGTCCCAGGACACCACAGCTCTGGTCAACGCTGCATCTGCTTCTGAGGCTGGGAAATGGAAGCTAGAACTGGTGAGTTTTAGCAGCTTTTCTCTTACATATCTGCTTTGGAGTCATCTCCCTCTTGCTGTATATTTTACTCTTTTGAGTAATGATATATATATATAGATACTCCTTGTTTGTGGGAAAATTCTATTTGATTGTCTCAAAATAAGTACTTATTGAATATGTAAAGAAATCTATGTTTTTAGAAAAATAAGACAGAATTGTTATAGAAATAGAATAAATTAATGTTGTTGTTATGTGCCATCGAGTCGCCTGCAACTCATAGCAACCCTATGTACAATGGCCCTAAATTCTGCCCTATTCTGTGCCAGTCTCACTATCTCTGACACATCTACCCCATTACCCCAGTCATTGAATCAATCAATCACATCGAGGGGCTTCCTTTCCTGCACTGTCCTTCCACCCTCCCAAGCATGATGTCACTTTCCAAGGACTGGTCCCTCCTTGCAACATGTCCAAAGTATGTCAGATGAAGCTTCAGAATCCTTGCCTCCAAGGAGCAGCCCAGCTTCACCCTCTCCAGGACAAACTTGTTTGTTTTCTTAGCAGTTCATGGTATAGTCAGTACTTTTCTCCAGCACCACAGCTCAAAGACATCATTTCTCCTGTCCTCCCTAGTCCAGCTCTCTGATGCATAACAATTGATTGCAAAGACCATGGCATGTATCAGGCACACCTTAGTCTCCAGACTGACATCGTTGCACTTCAGTACTTTAGAGAGGTCTCTAACTGCAGAGTTTCCCATCATCATACATCTTTTAATTTCCTGGCTGCTGGTGCCAAGAGTGTTGACCGTGGAGCCAAGCAAACCAAAACTGTGAAAAATCTCAATCTATTCATCATCCATCGTGATGCTGCCAATTGGTCCAGTGATGAGAATCTTTGTTTTCTGGACATTGAGCCTCAATCCATACTGAAGATTACAGTCCCTGGACTTCCACAGCAAGCGCTTCAGGTCCTCCTCAGTTTCAGCAAGCAGGGTTGGGTCATCTGCATAACACAAATTGTTCATTCTTCCTCCAATCCTGATGCCACAGTTCGCCTCATAGAGCCCAGCCTCCTGGATAATTTGTTCTGCATAAAGATTGAAAAGGTAACAGATACTAATAATTTTATTTATTAATAAATAGAATACATTGTCAGGATTATAAATTGTCTTAGCTGTTTTACTTTTTGTAGGTAAAGGAAGACATGTGAAGCCAGACGACCCAGCAGACTTTCAGAGAAAGGAAAGCTGAGGTGTTTTGTTTGGCTTCATTTGTTGTTTGTTGTTTTTTTTTGTTTGTTTGTTTTGGTTGTGTGGTTTTTTTTTTGGTTTGTTTTTATTGGTTTACATACAAAAGTTGTATACATTGTGTTTCCGGCAGTCTTCCATTCACACTATTTCATGTTATCATTCCCATACATTGTGTTTTGTAAAATTAACCACCACTGATCCATGTCCATCATTACCCCACCTTTTCAGGTGGATCTTTCTAAATTCCTTCATCCCCTCACTGTCCCCACCAAACTCTGCCATCACAAGATTCTCCCTCCCCCCACTCAGCCTCCTAAGTGGAAGTTTTCTATTATTTGTTGTTTATGAACTGGCTGCAGTCCGTCCTCACTGTCTCTCTGGGCCCTTGCTCTTTCACTCTCCCTTTGTAACTCTGAGTTTTGTCCTTGCACTAATACTGCCCTTGCTGTGCTGAGTGTTCTTTGTGCTAAATGGCTCCCTGATAGAACTGTTTAGCATGTAGACCTGTCTGTTTTTGTTGGAAAGTTGTGCCCCAGAGGTGAGTTTGTTTCCAGGCTAAAAGAGCGACTGAGGGCCATAATTTCTGGGGTTCCCCATCTTCGTCAGACCAGTTTACTTGACCATTACTGTGATTTTCAATCTTCTTCCATTTTTCTCCCACTGTATTCAAGACCTTTTGTTGTGACCCCTTTCAGATTGGTCAGCAGTGGGTGCCGGGCACCCCCTTGTTGTGGTGGAACAAGGGCTGTGGAAGTCCAGCAGCACAAAGTCCCTTTTGGGCTGTGGACTGATAGTTTGTTAGGCTTGAGACACTAGAGGGACAGTGAGGGAGAGGAAGACCTTCAACTAGGTGAATTGACACAGTGACTGCACAGTGAGATTGAGCGTGTCAGAGTTTATGAGATTAACATGGGGTAGGACAGGTTCAGATGTCATTCATAGAGTCATGATGAGTCATACTCAACTTGATGGCACCTAACAACAATAACAACAGCAAGAAGCAAGTGAAAATATAAAGATCAGCTGCACAAAGTGACATCTTTGTTACTAATAATTAGTTAACAGGATATATTTATTCCTCCTGATTTTGATCTGTACACTGTTATTCAGTTAGGGTACCTCTGTGCAATATTTGTCTAATGAAATCTGTGCCATGGAGGATTGAGCATTTTGCTGCCAGCTGAAAGGTTGACAGTTCAAAACCACCATGTGCCCTGTGAAAGAAAGATAAAGCGGTCTGCTCCTGAAAAGATTTACAGCCTTGGAAACCCTAAGTGGCAATTTTGCCGACTCCCGTAGGGTAGCTGAGAATCTGAAGTGAGCAATGGCAGTGAATTTTTTTTGCTTTTAGTCAATACCAGTTATAACCAGTGCCAGCACAAACGAAACCATTTTTTTTTCTTTTACCTGTAAATTCATGACGTGTAGGTAAAAGGACACACAAATAAATGACAGTAAGTGAAAAATGCTTATATAGATCTTGACAAAGCATCCTGGGTGGATTCAGGAAGAAAAGCCTGAGGGAAGAAGAGAAATTTAATCTGGAAGAAGAAATTTCTTGGTTTAATTCCATTTTAGGGGAACTCTAGGGCCATGGTCTGTAGGAAGTTGTGCTGGTAACCCAAAGGCAATCCTCATTTGTGTGTGTAGGTTCAAATGCACCAGCAGCTCTGTAGTAGAAAGATGGGCAGTATCCTCCAGTGCATTCACAGCCTCTGAAAAGCCTTGAAGGGTCATCTGTGAGTCATACCCCCTACCCCCCAGCAGTTCTGTTTTAAGGCCAAATAATATTTTCTAAATCTTTTTATCTGTGTGGCAGACCTTTCCTCCCACCCCACCTTCCTATTGCTAATTGAAAGTCTTCTCCGCATGAAACGTGATGCATCAGAATGATCAGCAATGATGAAAGAACAGGACTAACACTGGGAGTGGAATGCTTCCAGGGAACGACACAATGATCCGTCATTCAGGACCCTGTTGGCATTTACAGATGCTGGTGCTTCAGTTCCCTGCAGGCTCTTGTTTTTAACCCCAACCAGCTTCCTCTCCCAAACCTTAGAACAAGTTTCAAGAATACCTTAAAAGCTGAAAGAAAAAATTATATCCTTTTTTTCCTCCTAGTTGAATTATCTGTGGTAGTTCTTTTATTCCCCACATTATATTTTATTGGTTCGTTTTGACATTTTATTGTATTTGACCTACTCTATCCAACATTTATATCTTAACCTCTAAGTGATTAAGGCTGCACAGGTTCCAAAGTTTTTTTAATTAAAATAACTATTTACAAATTTTATGTACTAACATTTTTATCGCTTCTTTCATTTATCATTTCATTTTTTTTAAATAGGTAGGAGACATGTTTTAGAGTTTTGACTCAGCATAACTATTAATAATTAATTATGAAGCTAATCTAATTGGTGCTTCCAAGAAGCTTAATTAAAACTTAAAACCATAAAACATGAAAAACTGTATGTTCCTTTTACTTCTTGAGAGTTTGGTTAACCTCTTTTTTTCACTACACAAAAAATCTTAAGAGTTTTAAAAAATCTGTAAAATAAAATGACATTCTCACAAACTACCATTTCATTTGTGTCAGGTTATCTTCCTTGACTCCTTTCTCTTCTGTCACTTACTAACCTTAGTTATTGGCTCCTTACCCCCAGAGCTCCCTAATACATATGAGAGTGATTTGATTCTTGCCCTGATGGATCTTGCAGGTTGAAATAGAATCTTCCCGTGTAACGATAAAAGTCCTGTATGCTATTTTGACAAACAACATTTTTTTTCATTGATAATCACTTTTACATCTTTGCAGCTATTCACCTAAGGAAAAACCCAAAAATTCTACATAGTCTAGTCAAAATGTCTTGTGAGAAGCCACAGTCTCTCCCTCTTTTGGTTAGAAGGGAAAATAATATTAAGTTAATTTTAATAAGAGGATGTTCTTATAAAACATATGACATGTATTCTTTTTTTTTTTTTATTTTCTAAAGGAAAGACTGAAACTTGCTTACACAGAAATGAGTGAAGTCCTGGAAACTCAGTTGAAGTTTCTGAGGTAAAGTAAAACCATCCAATTAAAGTTGTAGTGAAAGCAAGATGATCTTATAAGACAGATTGTGCTTCCGTATTTGTTGAAGTGCCAGTTTTAGTCAATATCAGAATTATTTGATGACATTTTCAATTTTATTTTTATATTATTAAAAGGTAAATAAGCAAACAATTGTGGAATGTTCTTTTCAAATTCTCTGTCAAGGAACAATGAACTAAACTGTGAAGTTTTATCCCTCCTTCAGTTTTAAAATGTGTTGTGGTGTTGTTGTTATGTGCTGTTGAGTCGCTTGCGACTCATAGCGACCCTATGTACAACAGCCCTAAACTCCGCTCTGTCCTGTGCCAATC